ACTGCAGTTTTTTCATCTCGTTATCTCGTGTAATCTCAAATTGATTCTGTCTTCGCGTGGAATATTTTCTACCACTGATTTTATGTTATACATGATAATGTTTAACGTTGTTTTGAATCGATAACAGAATGTGAGAGAGGGAAAAAAATTAAAAGATTAGATTATTTGAATTGAGAAAAAGACAATGAAGAAAAATAAAATGAATAATGATAAAAAATAAGATTAATTTGATTGACTAAAAATATTAAATAATAAAATGAATAATAATAAAAGATAAGATTAATTTGATTGATTAAAAATATTAAATAATAACATAAAATGATGAATGATAAAAATATATTTTATATAATTTTTATAAAAATAAATATAAATTAAAATTGAGATAGATATAATTTAATATGAAATAATTATTTAATAAAATGAATAAAAATAAAGTTAATTTATATATAAATTATATATATTAATATTTATATATATATATATTAATATAATAAATTAATTAATTATTCTTACACTATTATCCTTTAAAATAAATATATATATCCTTTATTTTTTAAATTATTATATATAATTGAGAATTTATTAAAAATTATTTTTAAAATAAAATATTCTAATTATTTTTTTCCTAATTTAATATTTATTTAAAATTATCTAAATTTTATGTTTTTAATAATATGCATATATATATATATATATTAAAAATATTTTTTAAAATTATATTAATTAACATATTCTTATTAAATAATTGATTAATAAAAATTTATATTATATTTCTTTATATGTTTTTTATAATAATTACAAGTATAGTTTAATTAAAATTTTTATTAATGAATTATGTTAAAATAAGATATAAATTACTAAATATATTAATTTTTTTTAATAACTTTTATTAAATCATGTTATTGATAAAAAAATGTTTTCTTTAAATAATAAAACTGGTTAAAGATTTACGCAAATTTTATATATATTTATTAAATGGTATATAATAGGTTTAATTTTTATAATAAATAAAATTTTATATAAGGTAATTTTTAAAATATTTTTAAGGAAAAATTAATTTTAATTAAAAAATTTATTTTTTATGAAAAAAATATCAAAATAAACTTAATGTAAACTTAATATAAATATTTGTAGTTTGATAATATATGTAAGAAGAAAAGAAGATATTTATGTAAATTTTTTAAAATATTCATACAAAAATATGGTGATACATAATCAATTATTATTATTATATTATGTCACATCATCTATTATAGATAGATTAGCATAAATATATATTATATTATTTTTTAAAATATATAATATTATAATTTAAATTATTAATTATAATAAGATATTTAATAAATAAATATTATTATTTTTTTATTTTTTTAATAAAAATATTAATTAATAAATAAAAATTTAAAAATTATTTATATAATTAAATGTTTATTTTTTAAAAATTATGCGAAAAATATGTTGTGTATTTCTTATTTTGGAAAAGATACAAAGGAGGTATAAGTAGAATACAAGGTAATAAACATATACACTAATTTATCCTTAAAAATCTGGGAAATATTCTCGCCTATAAATATGATACATAATTGTGCATAAATAACGAAATAAATCTGATTATATTATACTTATAATATTATGATCAATTTTTTCTTCTTTAATGAAGGGTCGATCAATTTCCACATGTTTTGTCGTATCATGGTGAACTGGTTATTTGTTATGCTTATAATAACAACTTTGTTGTCACACATTATCCTCATAGTGTAATTGATAGGAATTTTGATTTCATCTAACATCCTCTTAAACCAGATTCATTCACAGATACCTTACGTCGTAACTCTGAATTTAGTTTCTACACTACTCCTTGCAACCACAAGTTGCTTCTTGCTTCTCCAAGTCACCAAGTTTTCCCACACAAAGGAACAATAACCTATAGTTGATTTCCTATCAAAGGGATAACCTACCCAATTTGAGTCAGTATAGACTTCCATACCTATGTTTGAGTTCTTTTTTATGTAGAGCCCTCAGCTTGGTGTACCTTTGAGGTATTGGAGTATTCTGTTTGTCATGTTCATGTTGGTCTCAGTTGGATTAGATGTATAGCGACTAGTCAGGCTAACAGCAAACCCAATGTCGGGCGTAGTGTGAGTTAGGTAGATTAGTTTCCTAACTAGTCTTTGATATCTATATTTATCAATGGGTGGACTTTCCTCTTCACCTCGCTTTTCCAATTTTATGGGAGTATTGGTTGCCTTGCGCCCAAGCATGTCAGTTTCTTGAAGTAAGTCCAGTGTATATTTACTTTGTGATACATAAATAACATCCTTCGTCCGAGCAACTTCCATCCCTAGAAAGTATTTGAGTTGGCCCAAGTCCTTGACCTCAAATTCCTTAGTTAAAAGTTCCTTAAAATGCGTGATTTGATCATAATCTTCTTCTATGATAACAATATCATCAATATAAACAATGAATAAGATTATCTTCCCTTCTGCAGAGTGTTTGAAAAACATCGTGTGATCTGATTGGCATTGGTTGAATCCATCTTCTTTGACAACCCGAGTCAATCTATCAAACCATGCTCTCGGAGATTTCTCAAGGCCATATAAAGATTTTTGGAGCCCACACACCATGTTTGAGGTTTTTGATGATTCAAGTCCCGGAGGAATTTGCATATAGACTTCTTCTAATTCACCATTTAGGAAGGCATTTTTGATGTCTAGTTGATAAAGTGGTCAATCTAAATTTGCATATAGACTTCTTCTTCTTCTTCGATTCATATTATGTTATAAAGTTTCGTCACTCCTAGAAATTTAAAAATTATATGTAAAAAGAAATTAATATACAAACAACAAAGCACGTAAATGGAGTGTGTAAACCGAAAATACACTTAAACAAATAAACAAATAATTACATTCCAATAACAATCCAGTTGAGACATTCATATAATAACGTGATTGAGATCCCCAGAAACAATCACGGATTCAATTTAAACATATATCAAGGACATAGAACACTAACCTCGAGTGTAGACGAAAATGATTTCAAACTCGAATCCAATCGGGGAGAAATGTCAAGTTCGTAAAATGAGACACAATGTTGATGTTTTTCACTGTCAAAATGATCGAAAATGGTGTGCAGAGGTAGCTGTCGTCGTCGTTCTCGAAAACCCTTGCTGCGCGAGACGAGAGAGTGGGCCTGGAACTGATTAAAAGACACTTTTTACGTCACGCACCCCAGCACGCGACGTAAAAGAGGCTTTTTACGTCGCCTGCTGGGATGTGCGACGTAAAAGTTTTGTCTCTTATTTACAAAATTGTCACCGCGTTTTATTTACGTCGAATATTTTTACATGCGACGACAATTGGGTGACGTAGAAACACTTTTTTTCACTAGTGTTCTAAGCATCATCTCTTTGTATTTATTTATTATTATTTTTCTACCATTCAATTTCTTCAATTAGAATTAATAAATTGATAGAATCTATCTCTCAAAAGAGCTTTGCTGATAATAAATAAAAAAACTCTAAAAATACCATTACACTTAACAAAGAAGAAAAAAGGAGAGAGCAAGAAAGAAAAATAAAAAAGACAATTGAAGAAAAAAAGTTGAAAAGAGAGAGTAGAGAGGGAAAACTAAGTAGAAAAGATAAATTGAGCAGAGAAAAAGAGTATGGTTGGAGAAGTACTGAACCAGACTATGAGAAAAGAAGTAGAAAAAAAGAAGGGAGAAAAAGGAAGATAAGAAATAAGAACAAAAAGATAGAAAGAAATTACATGAAGAGAAGATAAATACAAACTCATAAACAAATTAATGAGTAAAGTTGAAACTACACTCTCATCTTCCATCATTTTAACTATGACATGTGTTTTGTAGTCTAATTTGTTGTAAATAAATATATTCAAATGAAAGTCTATATAAAGTTTATAGTTGGTATTTCACATTAATCTTATATTTTTCACTATAATTTTCTTTTAAAAAAATAAACTTTAGACATCACTATAAAAACAATAAAGAAAATGGAACCAGACCTGTTGTATCAAACTTATATTAGTCTTTGTTATATTAGTCTCTTCTGGATAATAGTTGTTATGGTTATATATGCATGAAAACATTACCATTATGAATATTTAAAATTTTAGGATTATCTTCTTTTGTTTTGCATCTATTGTATTTAGATAATATTTTCTACTTTTTTTCCTATCATCAAATATATTTCAACCTTCTTTTTATTTTTTATTTTGATTTCATTCTCACATTCTTACCTAATTCTTATTTGGGTTAAATTTGTCATGACAACAATTCAATATTGATATTGTTTTATTTTCTCTCTTTTTCCACCATTTTTTTCTTCTGAAAAGTATGTTATTTATCTTGTTTATTCTTTTTCTTTATTTTAATAGCATAAATACTATTATTTACTGTAATAATATAACAAAAAATAATTTCATAAAATCAATAAAAAATAATTAATATTAAATAAAAGTTTGTGATAGTATATAATAAACTAAAAATAATAAAGAATATTTCATTACTATTTTAACACTAATACTAATAATATATTTTTTTCTTAAGTATAGTACAAGTTTTTCATTATATATTAAAATGATTTGTTTTATAATATTCCAGTTATAATTAAAATATTTAAAAATAAATTTTATAAGTATTAAATAATAATTTATTAGAGAAAGAAATATTTTAAATGTGGCATTCTTTTAATTTAAAATTTTAAATATATGAATTGAGACGAGTTATTATTATTTTTATTTAAATTAGAAACTTAAAATCGAACTAATAATAATTTTAGGTAAATATTTCAAAATCATTAAACCAAATTGAGTTTTACTGAAAAATTAAAATTATAATAACATTTGTAAATAGATATTAATTTTGATTGAAGATGGTAACCACGTGGCTGCTAACACCGAAGTGGCACCGAAAACGTTTTTGCAAGAGCCCTATTTAGTCTAAAATGTTCTTGGTCTGCCGTTGCACTGTAGTTGATTTAGATGACAGTATCGTCCTTGGGGGACTTCAATGTTGTTCTTGGAGCACACGAGAAATTTGGTGGCAAGCTTCCAAAATTGGACAGATTCTACTCAATATCTGGGGATCCGTTTCGAAGAATTCGTGAATATAACGTTGAAGTATTATTTAATTTGAAGACTCCAACTTTTACGCAAAGAATATGAATGAAAATATACAGTTTGTATATAGGATGGTGTTTTGGTCATGGTATGTTTTTCTTCGGTTGTTTGATATTAGTTTATTTTCAGAAAGTTATGAAAGATACCTTAATTTATTAAAATGTTCTTTTAAGGTAAGATTTTAATAAATTAAATAATTGTTTTAATTTTACAATCATTTAAAGCTTTAAAATTATTTTGAAGGTCCGGTTTTAATCTATTAAAATTAATTTTTAATTGGTTAAAATATTCGTCATGATTTTGAAAGATTTTAGATCATTCTATTTAAATATGTAAAAAAGTTTTTAATAGATTAACATTTTACGTGCTTTAAAAGGATTTTTAGTTCTTGTTATTTTAATTAATTAAAGTATTTTTAATATGTTAAAACCTCTTTATAGTTTTTAAATAAAGTTTGATACATTTTTTTAATAAATATGTTAAAAAACAAATGTAATCAATTAATTTCACCAATAAATAAAACTAATAGATTAAAATAATTGGTTAAATCTTTAAGTCAAATCTATATAATTTTTTTCATTTCTCAACCTTTTAACACACAATTTAAGTCATTTTTTCTTATATCTTTTCAATAATTTATTCTATCTTGTAACAAAAATTTCCAAGTGAATGTTTCATATTTTTTTCTTAGATTTCAAGTTGTATTGCTCTTACTAGATAGGGTTTCCAAAGTTCTTGTTGTGGCAGTGTCACATGTTCTTGGAGTTATTTTCTCATAAGGTTCAAGAATAAACTTCTTGATAGATAGATTTTTCTATTATTATGTAATAACTTTGATTGTTTTAGTAGAATATTAGTTGGTGTAATTAAGAACTGGATGCAATTCTTATTTAAGAATAAACCAATATAAATATTGTATGTTGTCTTCTCTCTTACTTATCTTAGTGAATTTTCTTGTTAACATTGAGTATTGGCTACCTTCTTATGGTGCTTAACAATTGAGCTTTAATAAAAAATAAAAAAAATAGGTGGATGAGAAAAAAACGGAAATAAATTATTTAATTGAAAAAATAGAAGAGGAAAAAAGTGGAAATTAATTTTTTAAAAATATTCAATTTTAAAACAATAAACGTAAACTTTATTGTTATTTATTTTTATTGTTACTATTTTTGTATTGTGATCTTATTATTAAATATATTAAAAATATTATAAATAAAAAATATATTAAAAATGATAAGATGAATAATAATTAAAATAAAATAAAAATATAATAAAATTATTATTATTTAAAATTATTATTTAAAAAAATATTAAAAACATATATTTTTAATAAAATTTATATTAAAAATGGATCTTAAAGTTATTTTTTATTTAAAATTAGTTTGATAAAATAAATAAATAATTTTTTTTTGTTTTATGTTAATTTAATTTAAATCTAATTATTTAAAAATAATAGATTAATTTTTAAAATGATTTTATTAAATTAGTGGAACCGATTGATATGATTCAATTTTTAAAATAGTGATTAATACTGAAGTTTGAATATAAATTATTGAGAAAAGTGAAAAGATAATTTACAAATTAAAAACAACTCATTAATATACTTTTTTAGAAAATAGTAATTAAGTTATTTGAAATTAAGTTGATTGGTAATATAAAAACTATTGGAGTGTTTCTAGAATGCTTTGGTTCTCCATTAAAAAATATATGCCAATTTTTAGAAAAACAATTTCTTTAAGAATTGACATTTTCGTGTTAAAGATGAGTACGTTGCGTTATCAAAAGGAATAACACACTAGTGCAGAATAAGACTTTTACGTCACCCAATTGTCGTCGCATGCATGTATATTCGACGTAAATAAAATGCGGTGGTAATTTTGTAAATATGGGACAAAAATTTTACGTCGCACGTCCCAATACGCGACGTAAAAAGCCTCTTTTACGTCGACGTAAAAGATGGACTTTTACGTCGCTTACTGGGGCGCGACGTAAAAAGCCTTAGCTTTTTACCTTTGAGCAAACTGACTCGTTTCTTTCTTCCACTCATTCTTTCTTCCAGTGTTGTGCATGACACGTTCATGTTCTTCTGTGCATGGCTTATTCCCGTTGGTGTTGGTTCCCACTCTACATGGCAGCCTCAATAGCCCTCGGAATCATTGCCATATCCTCAGCAATGCGTTCATCTGATTCCAAGAACTCAACACAAGAAGCCACGCCCATACCCCATGACCTCTCACCGAATGCTTCCAAGGCTCTCCGAAGAGCAGTGGTTCATACTCATGGCGGACCTTCTCCACCACTCTCCTTCATTCTTCAAACCGCCCCAAAACTCAACCATCTTCGCCATCGGAGACTCAAGAATCGAAACACCTCACATCCTTTTTGGTTCCTCAAAACCCTCCTCCTCTACCATACCACCACCTACAACCCCTTCTCCTTCCACGACCTCCTCAACATGTCCCAAGGAACCTGCCTCACAACTCTCCTTCGCCACAAAAACATCTCCCTCACCAAAGTTGACCGTGCACGAAACTCCGTCGAGATTAACAACGTGTTGATATCAAACCCTAACCCTTGGAGAGCAACTAGCCGTGCATGGGGTTCTTGCACCCTTCTCTCCCTTCCACGCCCAAGACCTTCTTCAAAGGGGTTTGGATTTTTTTATTCACTCTCCTGCTTGTCTTTCCAACTCCTCCCATGCCTCCCTCTTTAAGAGTGGGGTTCAATGGAATCGCATTATTTGCTGAAGGTATTCAAGCTGAAGGTATTCACATCATCATCTTTAATTATATCACTTTGTTCCAATTCTCTATTTTTCTGATAGTATATATCCATGCATTGGAACTTGAATTATTGTTTCCAAAAATGTCCAAACCAGCAAGTGGTTGATGATTTTAATTTACGCGTTCCAAAATGAGTGCTGCTATAATTGATTACGGAAAATTGCTTCTAAATTTTGAGTTATGGTGATGACTAGGAGTCTAAAATACTTTCAGTCTATAAATTGTTTTCTTATTTTGTTGTTTGAAAATATCCCTTAAAGAAGTTGACGTTGAATTGCAAGGAAAAGATGTAAAGGATGGTAAGGAACCACTATACCAATGTGATTTGAAGTCTATCCCACGCAAATTTAGTGTATCATATATGACATTTTTCCATCCTTAAGACTTCTCATTTGTACATTTCCTGTCTATAACATTGTGAATGAAAAATAAATAAAATGTAGACTATTCAATTGATCCAGATTTGATCGAATATTATATACTTGCTGAATTTATCCGACCCATAAAGTTTCTTCTGTCCTTGTTTAAATTCGGTTGCAAGTTTCTTACTTCTTTTCTTCACCAACTCAATTATGCGAAAAAGAGACTGAAGAGTTAAACAATGATCAAGAATCGCTCATTGGTGTATTCTCCGAAGAGGGATAAACATGACGTCGAAGAAAAAACTTGAGAAAGATAGGTTGCTATGTTCTTCTTTTTTAATCCAAAACAATGTCAATTACAGTATATGCTTTTTGATTAAGTCTCGAAGACGTTCGTGTTTCTCCCGTAGGAGGTATCGATTACTAAGAGCCGCTTAACAAGATATGCATGAAAGGAAGTGTTCGGTGTAATAAGCAAACTGACTCGTTTGAATGTGGTTACTATGTAATGTATTGGATGAGAGCCATAGTTTGTGCGGGTTTAATTGATTCTTGGACTGGAGGTAATTACTTTTAACATTAGTTAAGTTTATTTAACTTTATTCATGTTGCATGCTTACAAGAGTCAAATTCATGTTTCGGGTATTTCAAGATCCATCTCCATTACCGAATCCGAGATTACGTAAATTAGAGAACAATGGGCAAAATTTTTTGTTCAACAATTCTAGTACATTATTTTTTAAGTTCTTGTTCATATTATATTGTGTATTATGTAATTTAGTTTAGTTTGTATAGGTAGCTTAGTTTGTAATAGATTTTTTAGTTTGTATGTTTGTATTATATTGTTTTATTATGTAGTTTGAATTATATAATATTAAATTTTTAATTTACTAGCTAAAGAAAACTGAACCTCTGGACTGTCTGGTTGTAATATTTGCAGGTTTTAGTTGTAAAACAGAATAAATAAACCCAATTAAAAAAAACAGTAAATTTACGTCGCATATTGGTATATGCGACATAAATTTACGTCACATATGGTATACGCAACGTAAATTTACGTCGCGTATTGGTATATGTGACATAAATTTACATCGCGTATACCATATGCGACGTAAATTTACGTCGCGTATACCATATGCGACGTAAATTTTCTGTTTTTTTTTTAAATTGAAAAGGTTTTTACGTCTGTTTAGTGTAAATCTACGTTGGATCTTGATAACTGACGTAAATCTACGTCGAGCAAAAGATCCGACGTAAATTTACGTCTCCCGCTTTAACGTCAAACTTAAATATAATGTAAAAAGCCCTAAATACCTTACGTAAAAATTCATTTTTGCACTAATGACATTTAGACGTTATGTATATCATGGTGTGTCAGTGATTTTCCTACTCATTACTCGAGTATTTTAAGGACTTTTAATTTTTATATATTCTAAGAAAATTGTCACACAACACGTTGAAACAAACACTTTTAACTTGTACACAAGTATAAGTTCAATTTCTCGTCTCATAATTCACAAATCATTTTAATAGTCAAATCTCGTGTAGATTGAAAAACAATGATAAACCCACCATCATTCGTCAAATTTATTGTTCTTTTTTTTTAGTTTCCTGTTTCTTCAGTATATTTTACTACGACTTTTTTATTATATTAATATAATAAATATTAAAATAAACAACGTATTATATAAAACAGAAAACAAATGCTTTTATGAAATAATTATTTTATATAATTTTAAAAAATCATAATTTTTATTTAAAAGGTAAGAGACTTTTCCGTTATAAAATAATCATTTTATATAACTTAAATAAATCATAATTTTTATTTAAAAATATCTTATTTTATGCTAGAAGAAAAATTGATGATTTAATATTAATTTGATATCAAGTATATATATATATATATATATATATATATATATATATATATATATATATATATATATATATATATATAAGTGAGCATAATGAATAGCTTATCCAAAATCATAACCTTCACTAAAATTTATCTATAATATTGAATCCTTTTAGATAGGCTTTTGGTCTATGCATGCAGACAGAGGAAGAAACAGCAGAGAGTTGTACTGTATGGATAGAGAGGTGAGAGGAAAAAGTAGGTGACTGTTGATGTGATGTGAAATGATAGAGGCGGTCTCTGAATGGACTATTTTTTGGAGATCGGGGACGTTGGAAATGGCCTGAAATCAGAACGCAGTTTAGCAGTAAAGCAGAAAGCATGCACGACTCTCGTCACACGTCGCATTCTGGTGTGACCTGTTGTTTGTCAATGAGATTTTGTTTTGTGGTTGAGACCTTCCTTCTGATGCCATCATATTCCACTTCTCCTCCCCCATTAATCACTTCAATAATTGTTTTCACTAACTAATGACCAAAAGCCAATTCCAATCCTATCACTACCTTGCATTTGTTTTTGTGCTTTATGTTGTTACTGAATGCAATAAAATATTAATAAAAAGTTATTTTATAAACTATTTTAATTAATAGTAGTACTACAAAATTCCTTTGTCAAATCATAAGATGTATTAACTATTTATTATTTTATTGATTTATCTACTTAACTTTTCTTAATTGCCTTTTGTTTTTCTCTATATTTTAAATCACGATCACTCTTATTTTATTAACAAATTTTGTAAGTCTTATTAGTATACAGTTTCTTAAAATTAATTAAACAATCGGATGAAAAATATCATAATAACGAAAGTGAATATGTAACAATTTTTATAAAAGTATTATAATAACAAAAATAAAACAAAGTAATAAATTTAATATTTTAGAATTATTATATCTTCTAATAGAAAAATAAAATAAAAAATTTAAATTATCTACAAGTAGTTTGTTAGAATATGTCGAAATTACATTATTACGATTTTTTTCTACAATTGTAAAAAAAAATAGTACAGTAAAAAAATAAAAATGAAAGATAAATAATAAAAAATACTAGTTAATAAAAAAGAAAAATATGAAAAAAAAGTTAGAACTTATTACTTTAAATTTTTCATGTTTGTAAGTGAAAAAAAGTAGTGCTAATAAAACTATACTTTAAGTACATAAAATTAATTAAAAATATAGGAGAATGTCCAGATTTTATGTCCGTTATGATAATATCGTTAAGATCAATTTTCACGTTTGAGGTATTTTTCGCTTTTGAGCTCTTATCCGTTATGATTTTGTCCTTAAAAGACGTATCGATAGATAAAGAAAATATGGTGTATTTAAACTATCTTTGACCTTGAATTCTAAGCGTTGTGAGATTCATGAGCATACCGGAGCATAAAAATAAGGAAAATTAGTAGTACATTTCTTAACACCCTATGATAGATGATGATCTGGACTCTGTTTGTGACGTATGCCTTATTTTAATATTATATTAATATTACTGTGCAAGAAAACTTCGTAACGAAGTTTTCCTCATGCACAGTAAAAATTTTCTTATATATGAATACTGAAGCGGGGGAGGAGGGAAATTAAAAATTTTCCTCTCATCCTTCTTCTTCTATTGTCTAAATTTCAAGCAACGAGACTCTACTCGTGCAGGATCTGGTGAAACGGGAGAGAACTTGAATTAAGTGCGAAAGTTTCGGTAGAAATACCATACCAAGTAAGGGGAAGTTTAATTCATTCAATATATGAAATTGAATTGTTGGGTACTCTGTGAATAAGGAATAGGAGTAGAGATATGAAGTATTGGAATGTATAATTTTGAAGAATGTCTAATTTTGAAGAATTTCTGATTTTGATGAACAGTTCATCGTTTGAAAGTTTTTTTTATTATTGAAATTAAGGATGAATTATATACTAAAATTGTTGTTTTTAACTTAAATTGAACATGTTTATGGTTAAATTTTGATTTGGAACTAATTTGGGTGATTGAAACTGAGAAATTTGAAATCTGGATTTCGAAAATGGCGAACTGGAAAATCTGCAAATTTCGCTCAAGCGAAAAATACATCACTTGAGCGAAGACACCTGGAAAATTTGGGACTCTTGGGTCATGTATCGCTCAAGCGACCGATGTACTCACTTGAGCGACGAAGCCTTCAAACAAAGGGGATTCTCGGGTCATGTCTCGCTCAAGCGACCGGTGTACTCGCTTGAGCGACGAAGTCTTCAAACAAAGGGGACTCTCGGGTCATGTCTCACTCAAGCGACCGGTGTACTCGCTTGAGCGACGAAGCCTTCAAACAAAGGGGACTCTCGGGTTCTGTATCGCTCAAGCGACCGGTGTACTCGCTTGAGCGAGAAAAGGAAGAAGAAAGGGATATGGTGGGGATTTTTTAAAAAGATCAAGGGTAAACTAGTCATTTTACATCACAGGGACATAAATGGAATTTTCAAAAAAGTCCAAGGGTAAAATAGTCATTTAGGGACATACATGGAATTTTAAGAAAAGATTAAGGGCAAAATAGTAATTTAATGATTTTGAAAATGATTTCGAAAATAGTTTTGGAAATGATTTCAGAAATGATTTTAGAAAAATATATATATATAGAGAGAGAATGAAAGTAGTGTGTTGTGACGTGTGTGGGTCAGACTGAGCCTGAGGGCTGATGCCCAGAATCAGTCCTGAGACGTTATATATTGGCTAGAATGAGCTGGAGGGTTGGTGCCAGAATCAGTCAAATACTATTTTTATTGACTCGAATGAGCCGTGAGGACAGGTGGTCCAAAATCTGGCAAATGTGAATAAATTTTGTATGTTTGAATAGTACCCGGGGTGGTACAGAATACATTAGTGTAATAACTATGTCGGAGGATTCTGAATGAGGTCCCAGACTTCACTGATTGGTTGGGTCAGGTAGACTACGAGATCAGGTGGTGAGAAGTCGATGGTGGGATTACCGGTGGCGCGCTCGGAGGGGTACTCCGAGTATGAGTGATGAAGGGCGCCAAGTAATCCTACTCTATGTGGAGGGTGGTCGAATGATACTGCGGGTACCGATCACAATGTGCCCACGGATGATAGCCTCGAGTTCGAGCATAGTTAGGGTATACTTTCGGAAGGTGTCTTAGTGTGTTGATAATTTCGTAATTGATCATAATATATAATTATTACTTTTATATCTCGTTTTATTATATCGAATGATTTAATACTTACCCCTATTTTTCCATGTGGATGGGACTGCGATGATCACTTTTATGTGGGAGCAGATCGGGAGTTGAGAGATGGTGATGTGACTACCGGACGACGAGGATAGTTCGATGGGATAGCTTCGAGGAGCTACTTTTACATGTATAATATATAAATAAATTATGTTACTATATTTTGAAGTTCGTTAGTGAACTCGGAATTTCAATATATGTTACAATTACGATAATATAATGTAAAATAGATGTTGTTATTTACTTGTTTACTACTTTGCGAAGACATCATTATAGTAGCGATTTCTAGGGTCGTTACAATAGTGGTATCGGAGCGGTAGTATCCTTGTAAATCTGTGGGGATGGGTAGTGAACCTATGATAAGTCCGTTGTGATTATACTCTGATTGTGAGTGCGTGAATGTTTGCTTGGTATTGATGGTTGCGTTTGATATAGGATGGCACCGCGACCTCCTACTCCTACTCCTACTCCTACTCCTACTCCACCGAGTGTAGATGCCCTAGCTAGGGCAATGGAAATGTTGGCAGCTGCCATGCAGCAGCAGGCTACCTACCTGCAGTGGAGGCCAACTATGGCATCATCCTCTGCTGGATATCACCAATCAGAGCAGATGGGGCTGACTGAGTTCATGAGGCATAATCCGCATCGTTTTGGAGGAGATTTGGGTCCAGATGCAGCAGAGAAATGGCTGCGTGAAGTGGAGAAGATGTTTGAGGCTACCTTATGCCCGGAAGACAGGAAATTGACATTCGGGAAATACTTGCTAGTTGATGAGGCTGAGTTTTGGTGGTCAGGGACTCAAAGGATGATGATTGCATGTGGGGAGGTGTGTAATTGGGAAACTTTCCGTGAGAGATTTCCGGAGAAATACTTCCCCGACAGAGTGTTAGATTTCGAAGGAGACCGAGTTCCCGAGTCCGAGACAGGGTAATATGATGGTGCATGATTACGCCATACGATTTGAGCACTTATCTCGTTTCTACACGTGTACAACTTCGGAACAGTGGCTTTGCGTAAAGTTTGAGGAAGGCTTGAGGGCTGAGATCAAGCTCATGGTGGTTCCTTTCTCTATCGGAGATTCCCGTAGCCGGTGGAGAAGGCGAAGACAATAGAGAGACTCCAGGAGGGAGGAGTCGAGTGATGAGGACCCACTCAAGTGGGGTCCCGAGTAAGGGTAGTAGATCGTAGAGGAGGATGCCTTATTCACGCCCCAGCCTTCCAGAGTGGCGAGTGTTACCCTAACACCTCGATCATCGGGATCTCGTATCCGGGGTAAAATGTTTTCAATGTGGAGGCCCTCATTACAGGAATCGGTGCCTACGTAATGCCTTCACTAATCCTTCCCGGACTTCTCGGGCGGTCTTTGCTACACTTGCCGTAAGCCAGGACATATGGCTAGAGACTCGTCCACGTAATCCCAATGTTATAGTCTCACTGGGGCATCATTAGCACCCGTGGGGAGTGACGCGAAACCCGTAGCTGCAGGACGGGTGTTTGCCTTGTCGGGAGCAGAGGCATCGAGGTCGGAGAATTTAGTGCAAGGTGTGTGTTTTATCTCTCGATATACCTCTACGAGTTTTGTTTGATTCAGGAGCTACCCATTCTTTTATTGTCGATAATTGTATGGATAAACTTAAGTTACCCGTGTGTGACCTACCCTATGAATTGAGGGTATCTACACCGAGAACTGGACCGGTGGTGTCTTCCTATGTGTGTTTAAGGTGCCCAATTGTCGTAGAAGGACGACAAGTACAAGGTGAACTTAATCGGTTTACCTTTGAAGGATATGGATGTAATCTTAGGGATGGATTGGTTATCTACCAATCGCATTCGATTGATCGTGGACGTAAGAGGTTGGTACATCCGAATTAGGAGATGAACTTATTACATCGCTCGACAGGTTCGTAAAGAGCTATGAGAAGGAGCTCGGTGTTATTTAATTCCGACTCGGATGGATGAAATGAAGGAAAATATCCTGGAAGAGGTACCAGCTTGTGAGAGAATTTCCCGATGTGTTTCCGGATGAGATACCAAGGCTACCACCTCAAAGAGAGGTCGAATTTGGGATTAATCTAATTCTCGGTTCGAGCCCAATCTCTATGGCACCATACCGTATGGCTCCAGCAGAATTGGCTGAATTGAAGAAACAGGT